TTAAACTGCAGTCCTAAAAATTTGATCGAATCGGATGCTTAATGCCTGAGCCCGATACAAATTCATCCGATTCGATAAAATTTTTAGAACTGCAGTTTAATTGCATCAGGTAGGAGTAATAGTGGGAGCGGCTCGTGATAAATATTGGTATTATTCGGCATTTCGTATTAAAATTGTGCCACTTGGAACACATGTTCCCTAGACCTATTGGAGTGATTTGAGTCGCAGAGCCGGAAGTTCCGTCCCTTAGGATTGAAAATGGCGCCAATTTTTAAAATTTCAGGAAATATATGTTTTTAATGCGATTTTTACGTTTGGGGTGACGTTTACGAGGTTTCCGACGGTGAATATGACAAAAATAATATCCAAAGCTAATCTCTGTGTGGGAAGCATGTTTCATTTATTATATATAGGCCAATTGTATGATATCTTGAACGTCCCACAAGATTCAAAGGTTTTGACCGATTTTCGTAGTTGAGGTGGCGTTTCTGAGATTCTTTTGGGTGAAGATTACCAAAAAAGACCCTTTTTTATGAATTTTTATGTATTTTGAATAAACAGATCGAGGTTAACTAAGTGCAAAACTGAAACTTATTCATTGAATCCTGTTTTTAACTAAAAATTGTTGATTATTGAAACGTATTATTAATTAAGTAAAAAGTCATCAGTCATCAAAGGGAAATGCCTCATCATCGCTCAGATCTCCTGTGCTATAAAAAATATTTAGTTAAAATCATTAAAAATAAAACGTTGATGGGATACAAGTTACGCAAGAAGAGGCGGACGGGCGAATCATCCTCCATGCGAAAGATATGGTGGAGTAACTAACTATATGGTGGAGCATGGAGCCCAGAACATCCTCGTCCAGTGTTGAGATACTGACGTTCTGATGGTCATATATATTTTGTTTCTTTTTCTGAAAGAACTCGAACTGAAAGAAGGATATCTGTCAGGTGTTGGGGCCAAGCGTCGATATATAGCGACCCATTTGATTGTATTAGCACTTGGAGAAGAAAATTCACAAGCCCTACGGGGCTTTCATTGTTACACAGGTTGTGCCACAACGCCCTGCTTCAATTCTATTGGAAACAAGAAGGCGTTTATGACTTGGATGAAACGCCCGGACGTGACACCAGCTTTACTTGAACTCTCCAATTCACAAAGAGGAATAACAGAAAAAAACAATTAAAACTTTGGTAGAATTTACTACCGTTCTCTATGAGCCCGAAGCACAGGAGAAATCCACTACTAATGTGGGAAAATATTGTATTTTGTACCAAACATAAATTACTGCAGTTCCTGTCCCCAATCAAGCAGGTCATGTGTTGTAGGGGCACTGCTTCTATCCTACTGAATGCTCTCCACATCCGCCAACTTGGGGATGGACACGAGGCAAAGTGGGCTGGGAACCAAACTGGACCAAATAGGTGTAAATATGAAAGGAGCTCACAATCCTAGGGAAATGCGGCTGCAAGTGAACTTGTGAGATCATAAGGTGTTCATGCTTGCGAAACAGCCTTCCCTGCACCCTACAGTGTTCTAACTGTCAAGAACACTGCAAAAATCGGAGCCGAGTATATATGTACATTACATAAACATGACTGTCAGAGTTTTATTAATAATGATCTTAACTAAATATTTTTTTAATCTCGACTGCAACAGGAGATCTGAGCGATGATGAGGCATTCTCCTTTGATGACTTATGACTTTTTACTTGTAAATACGTTTCAATAATCAACCATTTTTAGTTAAAAACCGAATTCAATGAATAAGTTTCACCTTTGCACTTAGTTCACCTCGACCTCTTTATTCAAAATACTTAAAAATTCATAAAAAAATAGCTATTTGTGTATTAAGAGTGCAAAATGATTGTCGATTGAAAGGACATTTGCCGCGCTAATCTCTTGAAATCAACAATCAATTTGCGCTCGAATTACACACAAGATTTTTTCTACAATCGAGCAGTTCAAAATTTAAATTTTTCACTCAAATATAAATTATTATTTTAATCTTATGCCCAAATGAAAGATGTCATTTACTGTTGTCATTGGGTACTCTGAGCAATGCATATTTGATTTATAGTTTATAATTTGGAGAGCGAGCGGTTTTTTTTATTTTGTCGCTTATAAGCGACAAATTGACATTCCTCGAAAAATATGACGTTTGCGTTGTCAAATAGGAGCGCAAATGCCTACTTTGGATATCGATTGTAGAAAAAGGTCTTTAATGGGTCTTTTTTGGTCATCTTCACCCAAAAGAATCTCAAAAACGCCACCTCAACCACGAAAATCGGTCAAACTTTCCAAGAAACTTTCGAATCCTGTCGGACGTTAAAGATATCATACAATCATGCTTCCCACACAGAAATTAGCTTCGGATATTGTTTTTGTCGTTTTCACCTCGGAAACCTCGTAAACGTCACCCTAAACGTAAAAATCGCTCTAAAAACAGATATTTCCTGAAATTCGCCTCAATTTTGAAAATTGGCGCCATTTTCAATCCTAAGGGACGGAACTTTCGGCTCTGCGACTCAAATCACTCCAATAGGTCTAGGAAACATGTGTTCCAAGTGGCACAATTTTAATACGAAATGCCGTTTGTTCTCACGGGCCGCGCCCACTATACACAACATTACTGTAAACAAAACTGGATGCAAGCGAAATTCACCTTAATTAACATTCTTTGACGTAGGCGATACGACGTAGAATCGCTTAACCGTTGGGGTACCGTATTTTGTTCATTCTTATTCTGCACGTCAACAATAACGCGATGCAGTTTGTTTCATAGAATTGTTTATGTTTAATCGATGACGTGAGGTAAAAAAAAGTTAACTCTGCATTTAGTGGGGTTAATTACATATCGGAATAGTAATAACGGATCGACACATGTTGGGGAAATCCATAAAGTAGTGAAATCTCGATGAAATCCTTGACATATTGATGAAATCTTGATGGAATCCGTGAACTCTTGCTGCAATTCACGAAATCATAGTGAATTCCATGGCGCCCCCTTTCTGAAAACTAAAATTCTCGCTCCCCCTTTCCTTGATTACAAAATAAACATTACAGAAGACGTATTTATTAAAACAAATTAAATGTTATCAATTATTATACAGGGTGACGTTTTTTTTAATTTTCACTATGGGGCCGCTTAAATGGGCAAAGTGATGCAGAATCTTATGCTGATTAATTTTCCCTTTCCAAGTTTCTTGTAGGTCTACACATAGCGAAGTTATGGCAAAAAAAACGGAAAATGTCATTTTCAAAGATATAAGATAATTTTAACGAAGTGATTTTTTCTCAGCTTTCTGATGGTGCTAAAATAAATTTGTTATGACCGTTAAAATATTATGTTTTTCAATCAAGTCTGATATTGCAGTCATATCATCAATGACTATTGAGGTCGATTTTAGTTCATTCGAGAATACGGTCCTATCCTTTAGTTAGACTCTTTAGAGCACCATCATAAGTCACACATACACTATCAGCTGACAACATTGTGCAACATCGGTACTTTTATCGCAATTTGTTGCATAAAAAGGCGTATTTACCCCGCAGTATTTACCGTTTTGTAAACACCTACCGTCCTATATTTTACATAAAAATAATATAAGTATTTAAAAGGTAAATATTTGCCTCAAACTCTTCGAGATCTCGTGTCCCCCTTAACAGCACCTTGCATCCCCCCAGGGGGGCGCACCCCCCATTTGGGGACCATTGCCTTAAACCTTTTTGAGATTTATTTGTGTTTTGGGTAAAATTTGGTGTACACATGTTGGGAAATCCATGAAATCCGCGAAATCTTGAAAAGATCTGTGAAATCCGTGAAATCATCGTGAAATCCATAAAATCTTCGTGAGAGTTCTTTGTGTTTTGGGTAAACCATGGGTAAAATGGTGCGGGGGAAAATCATTAAACCCACACAATCATAGTGAAATCTATGAAATTTTTGTGAGATATATTTGTGTTTTGGGTAAACCACAGGTGCAATATTGATAGTGTACACATGTTGGGGAAATCCATGAAATCCGTGAAATCGTGATACAATTTACGAAGAAAAGGTCTTACTTTTTTTGAATTTCACTGTTCGTATCATTATTCTCCGCACTACACCCGTCTGTTTTCCTTCTTTTATGGATTCCTACTTCTAGGTGATAAATAAATTCGTACGACACAACTTTCGCATCTTGTAATTTAAAAATGTTTGTTTCATTCAAAAAGTGGGAAAAAGAATTCTTTATAAATTTAAATAAAGTTAAAAATCATTAAATGAACATGTACGTTGAGATGTAAGTTTTTAAGTCGAGCACGTCGTGATTTATTGGAATAGGTACAACCCTTTTCTTTCACATACAAAATTTCCCTTTGACTAGTGGCCCGATTTATAATACTTCAATTATTATCCTTTCGGTTAGTTACCTTTTTTTGAATTGGGATCGTTTTTTTGCTTTCTGATTCTGGGACCGTTTTGTTATGGTTAGTGCTACCTGATTTGGAAAACAAAGGTCGGAAGGTGCACCCCGTTACAAAATTTTGTAAAACTATGACCCCAACACAATCATTAACCAAATTTCTGACACGTTATCTGTGATAGGCTATCTATTGTCCAAACGGGCTGGAATTGGCTAATTAAAAAAATAATTACAAAAAGTGTTGAGACCAAATTTACCCTTTATTTAAATTTTTGCGAAATAATTTTCTCGTAGGTACCTATACAGCAGAAAGCACCTAAGTATGCGGTATATTGTAGGAGTTGTTACTAATAACACTGAATCACTTTTAAATTGCCTCGGAATGCCGGTTTTTAAAAAAAAATACGTGGAAACTATACTTACCCGAGTTGTTTGAAAGAAGTAAATTGCTAGGTCCACGCTTTTTTAAGCCGTTTTGCGTTATTATAAAATATCCCGTTAAAACGCCGCGCTGTATCATAAGCATTAATTTTTACTGTACAGTTAATTATGTTTGTAATTTATTATGTGTAATTTTCTCTTTTTACAGGTCCGATGAAGACGACCCGAGTGGAAGCAAATACACCAGGATGGAGGACGATAGCATTCAAGATAAAGAACGATTTGCCAGGTACCTATCAACTCTTTCTTTAAAAAATAAATCGTTCCTCCCTCGCCGTTAATAACTCCGCTCTCTTTTTATTTTTCAAACTCTGATGACAGTTTAGGGTAAGTTGTAACATAATTTTTGGCTAGATTCGGTCTCTCGCAGTTCTTAGTGTCATTGAACGCACTCGAATGCCTCGAGCCGCTTGATTACAGCCGTGTACCACATTAATATTAATAATTGCAAAACTCATTTACCCAATTTTCCCCGATGCGAGAAGGTATTCCTGCTTAAATCGTGCCTTTCCGTACCTACGATTTGTTTTCAAATAATCAAGAATAATTACGCTTATAATTATGTGTTTACGATTCGCCGATATTTTGTATTTTTCTCTTAATAATGACTTGGTGACAGATCCAAATAATTTTGGTGGTATTAATCCGGATTTTTTCTTTGGCGGTAATTACTGTTTGTTGCTAACGCAGACTGATGGCTATATCTGTTTACAAATTGGAACGAACGAAGTCCAATCATAATTAGAGCTCATTAGTGTAAATCATCGGTTTATGTTCTAAGGATGAGCGCTATATAAATATTTTTAAAAATCTTTGCTCCAAATACCTTCTTCGCTAAAGTAACAATTAATTTTTTGTATGTAACAGATACTTAAAGATAATTAAAGACTAGCTGAAAGACTTACTCCCTATTCCCAAACGGTTTGTCGATCCGTTGCTTTATTTCCCGGATATAACAATTTTGGTCTTTCGGACAAACATAATAAAAGCTTTCCTCTGAAAAAAATTGTGAGGAAAATTGTCTCCTACGTTGGAACTAGAGTACGATCAAAAACATTAACTGTAGCAATTTTACGCTCTTGGTGGTGGGTAAATTTTCGGAGATTTTGCTGCGAATTTTCCCAAGAAAACCAGATATAGTTGTTTAGTGTCTGCCAATATAGGAAGGAGTCCCTCCTCATATGGAAGGAGCTGCCTCTCTACTTGTATGTTGTTAAAGGTTTTGGTAAGTAAGTACACGTTCATCCGCGACTGGCTCTGCGTATGTTGGGAATTAGGGTGTACTCTCTATTTTTCAATGCCAGATCTGTCCTCTTCTTAGGCTAACATGGTGAGGACCTGCCAATACGCAAGTTGTTCACTGTTCAAAGACTATTTCAGGTTTAACCTTTTATCAGATTTTGCTATACCAAAGTTGCTCTTGCATAAAGAAGGGAATTATCGACTATAGAAACTAAATAATTTTATTTTGCTCTGACATGGACCATCCACGTTTCTAATTAGATTTCCAGATCATATTGTTGGGTAGATATTTCACTGGTTCGTACTCACTTAAAAATAAAGGCATCTAAGCGGATGAGGTGCTGGTTCACCAGAAGCGTTTCTATACGTTGTAGGAGGACTAAGCCTTACGGCGCTTCCAATTGATCCTCATTCTCGCTATTCTGTTTCCCTTTGCTTCCGCCGTATGCTCCTCAGTATTGTACAGTTACAAGAATTTGGGCAACTCTATTAAACAAAGAGCTTTAACTAGTCGTCGATAAAATGTTAATCGGAAGAATCACTCCTTCCCGCTCCTTCCTTCTCTTTGGTGATATGATATGATGACAAAACACATTTTCTTCTTATGTAACGATCTGTTATGGAAGTAAAATATTTGGAATTTAAAATGAAGTACATTCTGGTCTAGAGCGATTGTTTGTGCCCCTTTCTCACCTCCCTCTTAGGAAGGAGTAAATCGTGTTAAAATCAACCACCAGTTTGTAGACGATATTCTCTGCGTTACGTATTATTGTTGTAACTATTAAAAGGGTAAAAATGTGTTTTTTTTTGTATGGTGAGCACTGAACGCATGATTGGAAATGCCCAAACCTAATTCTTGTTTCTGCAAAGATGAAAAATGGTGTTGCTGGGAGACTAGACGAGACCAACTCAAACGCTCGTCTAGTACAGTGTAGTTTGGTCCCGCCTTGTTTCAACACCAAAATACATCCGAAGTTATCACGAATAAACAGGCCTGACGAGAAGGGGGGGTAAACGGGGGGATTCTCCCTGGGCCCGGATTTTGAAAAGGGGCCCATTGCATGGTTTTTTGGGAATAAAATTTTTACATCCATAAAGCATAGGTACCAATTTCACTAAAATAAAATATTTCATATTATGAGTCCTTGATTAGTAGAATAAAGTAATGTGGAATAGGTAAGTTTAAGCACAAAAAAGGGGCCCGTGCTTAACAACCCCCCGGGCCCCAAGTTTCTCTCTACGGCCCTGCGAATAAATAATAGTCGATGACCTCTCCAATCCATTTATCAAGGTCATAAAGGAAAAATTAAAACTTTATAAGTAGTGGGCTCGAGAGTGGGCTTGAACAAATATAATATAATGTCGGCTATGTATAGTATACCTCGAAATGGAGACTTACGAATATTTTGACTGAAGACGAATTCATCTAAAATTTTCATCTCCATTTTCAACTTGCTTGTTTTAGCTAGACGCTCTGTATATATTACTTGATCTACGTATTGTGTATATATTATTTTATGTATAACATCCTATACCTAAACGTTTTTGAAACATTTTGTTGTCTAAAATGAAGCTGCGTGGGGTAGCAAAATTTTTGCAAAGAAATATTTTAATAATCAAAAATAAAAAAATATTCCGATAGAAACGTTTTTTCGATACACACGTTTTTTGACTCCCCGACCTCAACGCACGCGCATCATGCAGTTTATTGTGTTTTGGACACTGTCAGATGTTTATTGCTACTCGCTTTCGCTTGCCATAATGTCGCCTGACATTTGAATTTGGAGTAAATCGAGGAGTAGATAATGTCATTTCTTCCCATTGGAAAAAGTCGGAATGAATTCGTGATTTTGACGAAGATTGAATAAATTATTAAAGAGAATCGGAAAGCAACAAAAATAAAGTAAGCTTGGTAAAGTGCAAAACTGATTGAAATTGTGAAGAAAATTTTAAAAAAACAAGAAGAGGGAAAGTGTCGTGGGGAAGTACAGGGCTCCCTTTTTTGATAGACATTGTTTTGTTTTAAGCAAATCGCGCTAATATAGCACCATTTGGATTCCAAATTCCTTTCTGGTCGATTTTGACGGAACATTCACTGACCCTAAACCTAAGCTGCTTGGAAAATTTATCTTGGACTGAGAACTGTGTGAAGTTAGTGGGGCAATTTTAGAAAGCTTCTCATTAAGAATTGCCAATGTTCTGCAAAAAAACCTCACGTTATTGACGAAAAACGATTTTGCCCGCCAAGCATTGAAAAACAAGTAGGTATAAATTGTGCACACAACTCTTGTGCAGATAAAGCGCCTTTTTTTTAACCGAAATAGCTTTTGTTGACGTTTCAATCGCCCTTTGTGAGTACCCTGTTCCGACAATCCGTTCTTGAGGTATAAGGGAATATACCCGATCACGACAAACTAGTTTCTCTCCCCCTCCCCTCCCTCAGGCCCCGTCGCTCACTGATTTCGAAAAAGAGTCGCACGGGAAAGTTATAGTTTTTATAGTTATAGTTATAGTTATAGTTAATTGTTTTATTTTCTTAGTTTAGGATGGGGTTAAGTGGTAGAGCAGTTCTAGGGTGTCTCACCATAGAACTGAACTTCGCCCCGTTAGATTACGGAACATTAATTTCATTTTTCATTTAATCTTAATTATTTAGTTTATTATCTATTTGAATGTTTTATTTTATATTTATTTCCTTCTGTACTCCAGTAATCTAATAAATGTCACTTATTATTATTATTATTATTATTATTATTATAGTTTGTACAAAGCAATTTATTTGGATGAGACCCTTCATTAGAATACCATGAAGGGTAGAACATGTGTTCCCCCCCCCTCCATTTTCTAAAGTTTAACTTGGCACCACAACAGACATGCGTATCAAAATCTGAGACCAACTGGTTGTCGTATGTAAAAGTTATGCACGTTTTACTTTCAAAAACAGCATCTCAGGAAATAATTCGTGGGGGGGGGGGGGGGGTCTTTTAGACAGCGAAATTTGATGGCCGTCTGGCACACCTTCAAGGTATAGGCTACCTACTGCAAAAAACGGACAAAACGCAAACAATAGCACATTTTTTTTAATTCTGCAAAATTCCCTAAAAATTAACTATTTTCCTTTGGTTTGCTTTCCAGTGATAAAAGGATTTAAGAAATTATTTTTGTGAAATATTTAAACATTGATGGCATCATTCGACTCAACACGAGGGCATACTTTCGGCTTCGGTAGTTGCGTCGCCGCACCTCGCTGCTTTGCAAGCTTTTGGAGGTTTCTTTGGCTTTCTTTACAATGATAAAAATGCAGGGAATTAGCTTCGTGAAGTATTTAAATATTGATGTCATCATTTAATCTAACAGGAGAACATATTTTCGTCTTTAGCTGCTACGCCGCCTCGCCTCGCTACCGTAGAAACTTTTTAGGGTTTTAAGAAATTATTTTCACATGCGCAAAGATCGCTATTCCGTATAGCGTCTTGTGACGAGTGAGATGAATTTAGTCCGGTGAAAACACAGTCATACCGAACGATAAGAAATATTTAAAAAATGTTGAATGAGTTCCAGGTAATTTTATAAAAAAATCAATACAAAGTAAGCGACAATTTGAACTATGTCTTGCTAAAAGAATCCCAAAATAATTTAATGAATTGTATAGTCATAATTAATTTCGTGCTTGCAAACTTTGAAGTTAACTCCATCATAATTAATTTTGTGTTAGCAAGACTGAAATTAATTATGTATATAGGAATTAATTCCTCGTTTGCAAATACAACATTAATTACGCCACAATTAATTTCATTATTGCAGACTAACAACTGACACGTTAATTAACAGGAATTATAACTCTTAAACAATTAATTTCGTGTTTATAAATACAGAATTAATCCCGCGTTTGCAAACTTGAAACTAATGCTAATGTAATTACTTACGTATTTACAAACGTGCAATTACAATACAAATTCCGCGTTTGCAATCACAAAATTAATTATG